AATCGTTGGGTCATATGGTAGTTCTATTTTTAGTTTTTTGAGGAACTGCCAGAGTATTTTCCACTACAACTGTACCGTTTTACTTCCTCGCTAGCAATGGATGAGTTCCAACATCCTTGCCAACATTTGTTATTTTCCTTTTTTTAAAAATCCTAGCCATTCTAGTAGGAGTAAAATGGTATCTCATTATGGTTTTGATTTGCTTCTCTCTGACAGCTAAAGACATTGAGCATCTTTCATGTGTTTGGGGGCCATTTAAATATCCTCTTTGGTGAAATGTCAACCAAGTTCTTTGCCCATTTTTTGGTTGGGCTGTCTTTTTGTTGTTTACTTGTCCAAATTACATATATATTTTGGTTATCATATTCTTTTCAGATATATGGTTTCCAAATATATTCTCCCAATTGGTAGGTTCCTTTTCACTTTTTTGATAGTCTTTTAATGAACAAAAGTTTCTAATTTTTATGAGGTCCCATTTATTTATTAATTTTTTGCTGTTCTTGCTTTTGTTATTATGTCAGATAGTTCACTGTTAAAAGCTAGGCCCAACAGCATTGCCCCTGCATTTTCTTCTAGGAATTTTACGGTTTTAGTTTTCACATTTTGGTCCTTCTTCCATTTTGAATTTCTTTTTGTGTATGGTTTGAGGCATATATCCTCCTTCATTTTTGTGCATGTGGAAATCCAATTTTCCCAACACCTTTTATTGAAGAAACTCTTCTTTCTCTATTGAAAAGACTTAGCACACTTATCAGAAACCAGAGACATGCGGGTTTATTTCTGGACTCTCAATTGTATTCCATTGGTCTATGTGTCTATTGTTATACCGGTACCAGGCTGTGTTGATTACTGTAGGTGTATAATATGTTTTAAGATCAGGAAGTGACAGTCCTCCTACTTTGTTCTCTTCTTTCAACGTTGCTTTAGGTATTCGGGTCTCTTGCCATTCCATATAAAGTTAAGGATTGGTTTTTCAACTTCTGTAAAGAAGGCTGTCGGAATTTTGATTGGAATTGCTCTGAATCTATAGATCGTTTTGGGTAGTATTGCCATCTTAACTACATTAAATCTTCTAATCTATGAACATGGAACATCTTTTCATTTATTTAAGTCTTTTTAAATCTCTTTCAGCAATGCTTTATAGTTTGCATTGTATAAGTCCTTAAAGTCCCTGGTTAAATTTATTCCTTGGTATTTTATTCTCTTAGATGCTATTGTAAATGGAATTGTTTCCTTAATTTTGCTTTCAGATTTCTCATTGCTGGTGTGTAGAAATCCAACTGATTTTTCTTTGTTGACTCTGTACCCTGCAACTTTGCTAAATTCCTCTATAAGCTCTAGAAGTTTTCTTGCAGACTCTTCGGGATTTTCTATATATAGGATCATATTATCCACAAATAGAGATAATTTTACTTCTTCTTTTCCAATCTGGATACTTTGTATTTCTTTTTATCTTATTTCTCTGGCTAGGACTTCTAACGTAATATTGAACAGAAGTGGCACCCTTGTCTTGTTCCTGATTTCAAGGGGAAAGCTCTCAATCTTTCTCCATTAATTATAATGTTGGCTGTTGGCTTTTCATATACACCTTAAATCATATTGAGGAATTTCCCTTCCATTCCAATCTTCTTTAGGGATTAAGAAATGGTGTTGGATTTTATCAAATGTTTTTTTCTGCATCCATAGGTATGATCATGTGTTTTTTTCCCTTAGTTCTATTGATGTAGTGTATTACATTGATTGATTTTCTTGTGTTCCTGGTATAAATTCCACTTGGTCATGGTGCATGACTCTTTCAATATGCTGTTGGATCATGTTCGCTAGTATTTTGTTGAGGATTTTTGCATCTATATTCATAAGAGTTATTGGCCTGTAGTTTTCTTTTCTTGTGATGTCTTTGTCTGGTTTGGGCATCGTGGTTATGTTTGCTTCATAGAATGAAGTATTCCTTCACTATCTTTTGGAATAGTTGAAACAGTATTGGGCCACTTCTTCTCTAAATGTTTGGTGAATTCCCCAGTGAAGTTATCTGGTCATGGACTTTCTTGTTGGGAGGTTTTTGATCACTGATTTGATCTCTTTATTTGTTATGGGTCTGTTGAGACTTTCTAATTCCTCTTGAGTCGGTTTGGATAGGTCGTGTGCTTCTAAGAATGTGTCCATTTCATCTAGGTTATCCAGTTTGTTGCTGTACATTTTTTCATAATATTCTGTCATAATTCTCTTTATTTCTATCACGTCAGTTGTAATGTCACCTCTTTAATTTTTTATTTTGGTTATTGGCATCGTTTCTCTTTGTCACTATAGTGAAATGTTTGCCAATTTTATTGATGTTTTCAAAGAACCAACTTTTGGTTTTATTGATTTTTCTATTTTCAATTTCATTTATTTCTGCTGTGATCTTGGTTATTTCCTTTCTTCTGGTAGGTTTAGCTTAGTTTGTTCTTCTTTCTAGTTCCTGGAGTTGTCGAATTATGTCGAAAGATTTGAGATCTTTCTTTTTTTTTTTTTTTCATGTAGGCATTTGTTGCTGTAAGTTTTCCTCTGACTACTGCCTTCTCTGCATCCTGTAAGTTTTGGTATGTTGTGCTTCTGACTCTAAGACATTTTTGATTTCTTCCTTGACCCATTGGTGTACCATTTAATTTTCACATTTTTGTGTTTTTTCCTTTTTTTTTTTTTTTCTTTTTCTGTTACTGATTTCTAGTTTCACTCTACTGTGGTCAAAGAAAATACTTCATATGATTTGAATCTTTTAAAATTTATCAAGACTTGCTTTGTGACCCTACATGTAGTCTAACCTGGAGAATGATCCACGTGCACTGAAGTAAAATGTATACTGTATTGTCATTTGGTGGAGTGTTCAATATATGTCTAAAAAGTCTAGTTGGCTTATGTCATTCAAGTTCTGTTTCCTTGTTGATCTTTTTTTCTAGATGTTCTATCCAATATTGAAAGTGGTTTATTGAAATCTCTAACTATTATTGTAGTGCTATTTCTCCTTTCAATTCTATCATTGTTTGCTTTATACATTTAGGTGATTTGATGTGGGGTGCATATATATTTATGATGGTTAAATCTTTCTGATTATTTGACCCTTTTATCACTATATAATGTCCATCTTTATCTAACAGATTTTGTCTTAAAGTCTACTTTTTCTGATATTAAGATTGCCACCCCAACTCTCTTTTGCTTATCATTTGCATGGAGTATTTCTTTTACTTTCAACCTATTTGAGTCCTTGGGTCTAAGGTTTCTCTTCTATAAAAAGTAGAGAGTTGAATCATGTTTTTTTAATCCATTCTGCCACTCTCTTTTGATTGGAGCATTTAGTCCATTTACATTCACTTAATTATCTGCCATTTTGTTATTCACTTTGTCTTAAGCCTTCTTTGTCTTTTTGCTTTAATACTACGTGCTTTTGTGTTTTGTTGATTCATTTTAGTGAGCCATTTTGGTTTTCTTCTCTTTTTGTGTATGACTTTTAGATATTTTCTTAGTAGGTACCATGAATATTACTTATTTTTGCATTTATATCATCCTAGGGTAAGCTGACGATCTGTCTTTTAATTGGAGTCTTGTAGTCCAGTTACGTTTAATGTTAATTATTAATAGGGTTGGATGTAAGTCTTAACAGGTTGCTTGTTTTTGTCTCTATCTCGTTTTTGTTCCTTTTTTACTACCTTCTTTTGGTTTGAGAATATTTTAGTACTGTGTTTTGTTTAGTCTTTTGGATTTTTAGCTGTACCTCTTTTTATTTTTTAGTGATTGTTTACAGGTTACAATATTTTAGCTACTGAATTTGTCTTCTGTAACTTCACCTACACTTAAAAAAACTTGGAAATTAACTTTTAGACTTTGTTATGGGAGAGAAGCAGCGATTCGCTCATTGAAAATGTGTGGGCTGAGAACCATAAAGTCGCTCAAAGTATTTGCAGGAGTGTGAGGGACTTCCAGGAGCTTCTAGAGAGGGTGTTTCTGAATAGTTTGACAATTGGTAGAATTTAGTCTGGTCAGGACCTATTTGCTTTAACTTTTTGCATTATCAAAAGCACAGCTAAGGTGGAAATGAACCTCTTGTGGTTTTCATAATCTAGTGGTCAGAGTAAACTATCTGGGCCCATCATTTTTGTTCTCCACGAGAACTATGCTTAGGGGTTGGGAGATGAGTTTAGCACAAATTTTCTCCTAAGCATGCCTGAGATAAGCCGGCTCCATTCATCGTTTCAGGTGATGCGTTTCTTAACCGACTTAAGTCTTCGTTTTTGGGACTAGGTCAAGTCAGGTTTTCTTCTGCCATTCCCACAGGTCTGCGCACACGTTTGCTCATGTTTCAGAGTGGAGACAGGATTGTATAGATGTGATCACCGCAGGGGGCCATCGTGGTCATTCTCTCCTAGCTGGCTCTGGAGGCGTCTACGTGTACCCGGTACCTTACGGCGTTATCCTCAAGTCTACGGAGCGCAAGTGTGCGAGCCTCCTCCCTGGTGGTGGAGCCTGGACGGGCACGCCCTGGGTGTTTTCCCGAATGCCTTCTGCGGCTCATGCCACCTCCGCCCGGACTCCATGGACTCCTGGGGGTAGGGTGCGGACTCCCGCTTCTCTTGCGCGCCCAGAGTTGGGCACCGCCCGCAGCGGACGCCACGCCTGCCCAGCCCATCCCCCACGCGCAGAGCTGAGGCTGAGTAAGCTGTCAGGTGGCCCTTGGGGCTCTCTGCCCTGGAGAGCAGCTTCGGTGGCCCGCAAGGAGCGCGGCCAGGGCCGCTCGTACCCCTCCTTCCCGCCGACGCCGGCCAGATGTGCGAATCCAGGAAAGCAAGGGAGGAGGTTGCAGGAAGAGTTGGGCCAGGAGAGCTGGGGTGGGAGAGAGCCAGGCCTGAGGGGTGGGGCCGCGACCGGAGCGTGGGAGGGAGGAGCACCGGGAGGAAGAGGCCGAGCCGGGAGAGCCCCCGCCCCGGGAGGAAGGGGAGGAGGCCTGGCGCTTCCTGGCGCATTCCCGGCCTGCGCGAGTGAGTCAAGCAGGAAACTCCCAGTTCCCGCCCGGGACCCCCGAGCCACCGCGGACCCCCGAGCCGCCGCGGACACAGGTCAGGAATTTGCTGCCTCCGCCCCCGCCCCCGTCCCGTGGCCACCTGGGGGGCCGGGGACCCGGCAGGGCGGCGGCGATGACGGTTCGGAGCCTCGCGGGCCGGCCGGGACTTGGCCCTCCGCGTCTCGGCCTCTCCAGTGGGGCCACCCGAAACCATCCGGGACTCTTGACCCCCGGTTTTCCGGCCCCTGGATTCTGGGACCCGGGATCCCCGGTCTCCCAGACGCCGACACTGATACTCCAGACCCCCAGCCCCTGATCCTTGAACCCTGAACTCTCGACCCCCGACTCAGGACCCCGGGTCCTCAGATCCCGCGCGTGTGCTAGAGCTGCGATAGGGATGGAATTCGTTGGTGTTTTGCGTGTGATTGTTGGGAAGTAAGGAGCGGACAGCGTGGTAGTCTGGCACGGAGGTGAAACGATAAAACCTGAACCAGTTTTTGTTGCGTGTTCCCTCTGAGTGAAGGAGGAGATTCTCGGAAAGCGAAACCGTTCAGCAGAGTTTTGAAGAGAGGAATTTTGGGGTTTGTGAAGGAGCCGCGATGGTTACGTGGGTAGGATTATTTCGCACAGCCGTGATGAATTGTATGTTTTCAGCATACAATGCGTACACTTTATTTGCAGCGCATAGTGGATGTGAGGAAAGGGCTGGAAGAATAATTTGGAAGTGAGGTTTAAGCAGGGCATTTTAAACCGAGAAAGGCGTTCGTACGATGTCAGCTCTAGTGTTATGTGGAAACGATATAGATAAAGATGGTTTAGTAAACGCTGTATAAAACCTGTTGCCGTCGAGTTGATTCTGACTCATAGCGACCCTATAGGACAGGGTAGAACTGCCCCATAGGGTTTCCAGGGAGCGCCTGGTGGATTCGAACAGCCAACCTTTTGGTTAGGAGCCATAGCTGTTAACCACTACGCCACCAGGGTTTCCAAACTCTGTATCATTTGTGCTTATCTGGGCGACTAGGACTTGAATTTTCGTCTCTCGTAGTAGAGAGTACTCTGAGGATTTTTGCTGCCTCGCTTGCCCAGTGGTATTTCTTGGTCATTTTCTGATACGATTCTTTAACTGATTGTGATTGAAGCAGAAATGATACCCGGTACTGTAGTGCAGACTGCAGTACTTGACAAACTTCGGGCAGATTGGTGATTGTCCTAGAAAATCCTTACTCTGGGCTCGCCGGCTGGAGGCTGTGTCCTCAAAGGCTGTGCGCCCTTGTGCCCTGAACTTGTGCTCGTTAGGAGTCTGCACGGCTGTCCCTTACCCCTGCAGTTCGCTAATGCTTTTCCATGTAAACCATACCTCTCAATAAACGTGTGCCCTGGACAGTTGTAAATTTGTAGGAAGATATTCAATAGGAAGATCGTGTTAACGCTCTAAGAGTCCCTGCCACCTGTTTCCCTCCGCGGCATCGTCACCAGGATAGAGTCAAACGCGGAACAGTGGTGGAAAACATTTCCTGTGTTTAATACACGTTTGGGTGCTGATCAGTCGCTCAAAGAAATTTTATCCCCAGAGGTTTTGTTTGCTTTTTTAATACGTGTTTATTTAAATTTATTTAAAAATTTATACATAATAAAATTCAGTTTTTGGTCTACAGTTCAGTGAGTTTTGACAAATGCAGAGATGTGTGACTGCCACCACGATAAGGTACAGAGCAGCTCCATCACTCCCAAAATTCCCTTGTGCTATCCCATTTATAGTCAATCCTTCCCCACCCTCAGACTCTGGCAACCACTGTCCCTATAGTTTTGCTTTTTCCAGAATGTCCTATAAAAGGAATCATACAGTATGTGGTCTTATTGAGTTTGGTTTATTTCACATAGCATAATGCATTTGAGATTTATCCATACTCTTATTTGTCCCTTAGGAGTAAAGATATAAGGGCTGAAAAGTGTAGCTCTAGGATACAACCTGAAAGAAATTAGATATTATTTTTAGGAGATGAAAAAAATTACAAAACTCCAGCTCATTTAAAGAAAAAATTAAACAGTACAGAACTACATATACGAAAAAGTGAAATTCCCTCAATACTTTGATAGTAGTGTATAGCCTTTTCTGTTCATACACGTAGTTTAAAAAAAAAAAAAGATTATATTGCATATATTACCATACTTTTTCATTTAAGGATCTTGGGTCACTGAAAGATATTAGAAATGTTTACATGTTGGTTTATATGTTGGTTTTATATATACACAGATTTCTTTCATTTTTTTAAATGACTATGTATTATCCCATAGTATGAATATATCATAATTTATGTAATTAGCCTCTTGTTAAATTGACATTATTGTTATCTCCTGTTTTTCACCATTATAGTCAATACTTGTGCCTGTATCTTTGGACGTATATTCAAGTTTATCATTCTGGAAGTGAAATTGGGTTCAAATAATAGCTGACATTTCTTGACTACTTATTTTGTTCCAGGCATCTTTCTAAGTCAGTTACTTCTTTTTCTAATGGTCCAATCAGAAGCAAACCCATTGCCACTGAGTCAGTTCCAACTCGTAACGACCCTATAGGACAGAGTAGAACTGCCCCATAAGGTTTCCAAGGCTGTATCTTTACTGAAGCATTTTGCCACATCTTTCTCCCAAGGAGCGTCTGGCGGGTTCGAACTATTGACTTTTCGCTTAGCAGCTGAGTGCTTTAACCACTGCGCCACCAGGTTCCAGGTGATGAATATTTAAGGCCTTGTGGACCATACAGTCTGTCTCACAACTATTCCACTTTGCCCTTGTAGTGTCAAAGCAGCTATAGACAGTATGTAATGAATGGGTATGGCTGTTTTCCAATTAACCTTTATTTACAAAAACAGGCAGCAGGCTGTAGTTTGCTGACTATTCTCACAATCCTCAAAGGTAGGTGCAGTCATTCCCATTTTGTGGATGAGGAAACTGACATAGAGTGATGACTTATGTGTTGTCCAAGGCTATGTGCCTGGTAAGTAGCAGAGCCAGACTTTGGATCCAACCATGTGACTTGGGCACTCCACTCATGAGGACAAGTTTAAAAAATAGAAGGAAGCTGCTAGATACCTTCAAGAAAATGCTAGGCCCTGAGACCTGACCTTCACATACCTACTGAATAACCTGTGATTCTTTGAAAGTGACATACTTGCTCAGGTACACTCCAGGAGTACTTTCCTTCCTCCTCCTGACTCCCCAGGTGGGCTCCTGTTCTCTCAGTCTGTCTGATGTATGTGTTCTGTCTGTATCCTGCCTTTTGATCTGTGTTTCACTAGCATGGGCTTACAGAGGCCATGTCAGTGACTTGGCTGCCCAGTTGGTCAGTGAAGAGGAAGGACAGAAACTTCTCTAGCGGGTGACTTCTGGTTGACATCTGCTTCAACAGTGATCCGTTGAGCCTAGGTGGGCCAGTTGCGTTGCCTACCACAGCCCATATTCTTTCTTCCACAACGTGGAGGAAGTACCTATTAGATTGTTATGAAGATCAAATTAGACCATATGGGAAATGTGCTGTATAAGGGTAAGTTACTATTATTGTTATGTTGTATTAAATCTTCTATATTTGAAAAACATTTTGTAGTGTGAAGCTTTAAGTAACTAAATATACAGTGATTTTTAATGGATTTACTGAGTTGTCCAATCATCATCATACTCTAGTTTAGAACATTTAGAACTTTTTCATCACCCCAATAAGATCCTTCATGACCATTTACAGTTAATCCTCATTCATAACTCCTACCCTGAGTGATCACAGTCTGCTTTCTGTCTGTATAGATTTGCCTTTTCTGGACATTTAATTAAGGGCTTCTTAATGCGTGGCTTCTTTTACTTAACCTAATGTTTTTGAAGTTCATTCATGTTATAGCATGTATCAGTATTTCTTTTCTTATTGCCTGTTAGCAGTTCTTTGCGGCTGCCCTCTGCTCCCCGAGGCAGAGTCCCTCAAGGCAGAGCACCGTTTTTCTGGTTGTCTTTCTTACTGTTTTTGTAGGGATGGTGGGAACAATGATCAGAATCCTCCTGGATGCAGATTCTTATTTCAGATATTTTCAGGATGGTGTTGATTTTTCATTGTCTTTTGGTTGGCTGATGCTGCTGTTACTCATGTTCTCCTACATCTGCAGTGTTTTGGAGGAATCTTTGTAAGGGCTAGTTTAAAACTCAGGTTATCATTCCTTGATCCACTGGGCTGGGCCTCCAATGATGGAGGGGAGCCCTTTAGACTCCTGTGCCTCCTTCAGGACATTGCAGGAGGAGACTGGTGTATTAACTATTAGGAAAACTTAATTTTTTGTCTTTGTTAGGTAAAAATACAGATCAGTATTTTCTTCTTTATTTCAAGGGATTATATGATATATCCCACTTTAGAGACCACTGGTCTGAAACAGGTTCTCAAGGCCTGAGATTCCTGCCTCAGAATCAGGAGTGTGTGTACCTGTCTACAAGGGTAAGGGCATTAAAAATTCAGGTCCTGCCCACTCCAGCCCTGCTGAATTGGGATTTTGGCTGGGAATGAGAGTTGACAATCTTTCCTTTTCACTACTCCTCCCTGGTGATTTTTTTCTGCAGTGTTTATTCACAGCCAGCTTGTACCCCAGCTCCCTGGGGACTCATAAATCAGAATCTGGGAGTACTGAGTGGAGTGGTATTTATATCAGTCCACATCAGTCTGGCCATCCTCCTAGGAGTAGCTTTGGGAAGATTGGCCTGAGGAGACCTGGGTTTCTGATGGGGGCCTTAGCACTGGGCAGGACCCTTCTGAGTTCTCTGCAACTCTCAGATTTTACAGTTTCATAATTTATTATATTTTTGTTGTCATTGAAAATATGTATACATATGGTTCTCTTAATAATGTTGGAGTCCCAAGGTGGTGAAATCAGTTAAGTGCTGGACTGCTAATTGAAAGTTTGGCAGTTCAGGTCTAACCGCAGGTGCCTTGGAAGAAAGGTCTGGCGATCTGCTTTCAAAAGGTCACAGCCTTGAAAACCGTATGGAGCATAGCCCTACTCCGTACACATGGGGTTGCCA